TGGAGGTGTTCCCGCAGCCGCACGGGGAGACGCACAGCCCCCCCACCCCCATACTCCCCCGCTCTGGAGCGCTCCATGGCCCCAGGGCTCTGCTGTCCGCCGCTGTCCTCCTCCCCCCCACCCCCAACAGGAGGGGACACACCCGCGCACGGGACAGGTTCTGCAACGGATCGGGGTCGGGGGGGTGGTGTGAGGGAGGGTTTGCATCAGGAGGAGCGGGTCAGGTTGGTGGGGGATTTATTCTGAACGAGGGAGTCTCCTGTTTCAGATGGGGAAGGGGGGAGGAATTTCTTTGCTCGGCGGGGGGGGGGGGGGGGGGGGGTTTACAGAACACAGCGGGGTGGTACCTGAAGATGCCGATCTCGCCGTAATTATTCCCAGCAGCCAGGTACCTCCCGCAGGGGGAGAAACTCTGGCAGAAGATCGTCATGTGTAGGATCTCCAGCTTCCTCTGTACCTCCGCCTGAGAGAGAGACGGCGCCTTTTCAGACCCTACAGTTCACAATCTCGCCACAGAAAGCCCACAAGCAACATCCATCTCCGACAAAGAGAGAGAATCTCCTCCCTGCCCTTCCCCTTGACATTCCCATCACTGAATCCCCCCCACCCCCAAACTATCAACATCCTAGGGGTTCCCATGGAGTTCCCAAACTTTATCATTTTAATATATGCCAAAATCATAAAACGATGCACATTTGCTTGCTCTCAAACTCTACTGTCACATTCGTACTCGAGACTGTGAAATTGCGGACATTTTAGACTGTGCTAGATTGTCCCGTAGTGCCCAGGGATGTGCCAGTTAGGGTGGGTTGACCGTGGAAAACTGTCCCGAAGTGCCCAGGGATGCGCGGGTTAGGTTGGATTGGCCAATGGGAAGTTGTCCCGTCGTGCCCAAGGATGTGCAGGTTAGGGTGGGATTGGCCAATGGGAAATTGACCCGTAATGCCCAGGGATGTGCAGGATAAGGTGGGTTGGCCGTGCTAAATTGTCCTGTAGTGTCCAGGGATGTGCAGGTTGGATGGATTAGCCACAGGAAATGCAGGTCTATAGGGATAGAGTAGGGGGCTGAGTCTGAGTGGATGCTCTTTGGAAAGTGGGTGTGGACTTGTTGGGCTGAATGGTCTGTTTCCACACTCTAGGGATTCTATGAAAAGTGAATTTACTAGCTTTCTACTGCCACTGCAACATTAAAACATGCCAATATTATAAAATGATGAACATTTCCTGCCTTTCTAACTTGTTTATAACACTAAAACTCTCAATATTTCAAAATTATGAACATTTACTGGTGCTCTAACTCTACCATAACATTAAAACATGCCAATATTGTAAAATTATGAACATTTGCTGGCCCACTAACTCTGTTATAACATCAAAACTCTCAGTATTATAAAACTATGAACTATTACAACAGTAAAACTCTCAATATTGAGGTTGTTGACTTGCTCACTGAGCCGGCCTATTTTTGTTCAGCCGTTTCGTCACCATGCTGGGTAACATCATCACTGGAGCCGCTGATGAAGCAACGTGATTCTACTTCACTTGGAATTTATACCGTCCGGGCCGTTGTGGTGATATGTGGCTATTTCCGGTTCTGTTCTGTTCTGTTCTGTGTGGGTTTGTATATGGGGTCTAATTCTCCCTGTTTGTTGATTGCGTTATGGGTTGAGAACCATGCCTCTAGGAATTCCTGAGAGTTTCTATGTTTGGCTGTGGCCAGTATGGTTTCGTTGTCCCATTTAAATTGGACCCAACATACAAACCCATACACAACAGAACTGGAAATGACACTACTCACCATAACGGACTGGACAGTATAAATTCCAAGTGGAGTAGAACAACATCGCTTCACCCCAGGCATCACTGACAATGTTACCTACTACGGTGACAAAACGTCTAAACGAGAACAAGCCAGCTCGGCGAGCAAGTTAGCAAACTCACCCACAACCCGAGCTACAAATCTTTGTTAAAGTCTTAAACTCTCAATATTATAAAATTATAAACATTTGCTTGCCCTCAAACGCTATTAAAACATTAAAACTACCAATAACATTACACTATGAACGTTTTGCTGGCTAACCCTGTTACAACATTCAAATATCTCACTGTTAAGTGAAATTATAAAATTTTGACGATTTGCTGTGCCAAACTCTATGATGACATTGAAATGTCTCAAAAGTTATGAATATTTGACGGCTCTCTACCTCGATTATAAGATTAAAACATGCCAATATTATAAAGTTATGAATATTTGCTAGCTAACTCTGTTTCAACATTAAAATATCTCACCATTAGATGAAATTATAAAATTTTGACTATTTACTCTGCTTGACTCTGTTATAACACATTAAAATAACTCAATCGTATGAAATTATGACATTTGATAGCTCTCTAACTGCATTAGTGTAAAATTATGAACATTGAATGACTCCCTATTACACAATGGGCTCAAATTGGACCATTCAGTCATTGACTATTTACCATGGGCGCCGCCATCTTGCCTGCACATGCGCCTTTCCGCAAAGGCGCTACTCTGACCCTTGACCTCTTTCGGGCAACTATTCGGTTTTAAAATATATATTTGAACAACAAAAAAGCTGCCCATCGCAGAAAAGGCGTTGGTGGGGAGGTTAACTTGGGCGGAGAAAAAAAATGCTGTTACTCAGGTCGCCTTCGGTGGCGGGGCGGGAGGGTCGGGCGCGCGCGATGGATTCTGGGAGTCCCAACCAACCGTCGCTTTCAAGACAAGTAAAACTCCAAATTATATTCAGTCGCGTTCTCAAGATGTGGCAGGGGTTGAAGAAGCCGGAATAGCTCACGAATTGGTTTTTAAGGCTTTTCTCTCCTTGCGACCGACGGTTGTGACCTCGGGTTAACCCCAGCGCCGTCGGGGGAGGGCGGGGAGAGAACCGGATGTTGGCCCCCCGTCTCCCCCCCAGGGCATGCCGGGCGATGTAGTCCGTGATGACCGGAAACGCCGTTGGCTTGCGCGGTGGGGCGGGCGGCGGGAAACTACAACCACCATGGCGAAGGCGGCGGCGCCGAAGGAGCTGGCGGAGGGCGAGCTACCATCTTCGTGCTCCCCTTAGCTCGGAGGAGACGGAGGTGGATTGGCGACTGTTATGTGATCGGGGGGTGGGCGTAACGACAGAAAAAGACTCACAAATATCGGGTTTTTCGTCGGTTTGCAAAGGGTTGAAGCTTGCCATTCGGTGGTTTAGGGTCTGTAAGGGGGGAAAGGTAGAGACTCCTCTTCAGTGTCAACATTAATTAATTAATTAAGCCCAATGTTGGTGTCAAGGGGGAAGAGGAGGTTTTGGAGGTGGAGAGTATTCCTAACCACGATCCGTGCCTTTTCCCCCGAAACCGGAGGGGTGTGAGCGGCTGGAATGGGGGCTGGTTGGGAGTCAGCGGGCAATAGCGATCATAACTTTTTTTTTAAAAACCCCGTCTGGTCGGTGGGAGCTGGCGGGCTCCGTTCGTTGGACGGGCGGCTTGTTGTGCAGGGGGAGGGTACCGGGAAGGTGGCGGGGCGGAGAATGTGGGCGTAGGGTGTACGGGTGATTCTGTTTGCAGGCGCTGAAGGGGGTTGCCTCGGACCGCGACGGGACCTGGATCGGGTGGCCCGAGGAGCAGAGGGTCCGGTTTCGTTCCGATAAACGTGGGGCGCGTTTAGAGGAGACTGAGAGCGACGGCAATCGGCTTCCAAGTATCGTCCCTGGGGC